GCAGAAGCTGGATTTACTTTGCTCCCTTGATGCTTGGGTTTTGGCTCTGCATGGGGAAAATTCTTTTGTGTCAGTCACAAAAATGACTGGGTGTGATCGACTAAGCTCGTTGCTTATGTGTTATGCTTGTTATCCTCCGTGTCGTTTGAAGTGTGGAATCAATCACTCCAGGTGACCATTCCATACATAAAATGTCCATTTATTGCTATTTATCCTGGGTTCTGGGCAATCGGTTAAGGCATAATCAAGAGATATGATTGTGGTTCTTTCTGGCTTTCTTTTCCGATTCTTCCCGTGTTGGGGAAGTGTAACTTGCAAAGTGAATGCAGGTTATGCAATTTAATGTTTTCTTGGTCTGTTGATTGATGTTCTGGACCTAGTGAGAGAAGAAAGTTCTCTACATTTTGCTTGAACCGTGCACTTTTGAGCTATTTTGCTGGATTTTGTTGCTTGATATTTGGAGTAATGGGTTTGAGATTACTGTGTCCTTGCCACTAGTGCTGGAAAATCATACGATGATCAGTTCCAACTTTTATATTATTGGAGACCTGCTTTCTGTAAATTTTTCTTTCTCCTTTCTCTGGCCTTTTTAAATGATTTGGGTGAGAATATCTTGTTATTCTTATCTTGGTAAGTACCTTAAAAATGAGGAGTCAAAGGATCATATATTCATTTAAAGGGCATGAGAGGTTGCCTGCCCTTGTGAAATTGAAATAAAAAGAAAGACGATCTCCTCTTGTTTTTTTGGAGGTAAGGGAAGGGACTTTGTAGCTTGCTTGTTTCTAGTGTGGAATTACTCGTGTTCAATGGAAGGTTTAGGTGCTTGATATTCAGAAGGATGGTTTTCAGCTTTGTTTTGGGGACGCGATTACTCTTTGTTGAACCGACTTATGAAACTATATCTGTTATGTGATCAACCATTTGCAGACTATGATCTAGAGAATGAATATCAATTGCTCAAGAATCTGTGTTCTAAGGCATTTGAGATAAATTGCTGTACTGGTTATCTGCTCTGTTTTTCTCTAGCTTTCTTCGTCTTATCTGGGCATAGTAATGACATATTTACACTTATATCATGGTTGGTGGCATTGTGGATATGAAATTTACCATGTGGGTCTTTTTTTTTTCTTACCAGATGTATTACTCCAGAAGGTCCGATTATTCTCATGCCCCTTCACCTCACTGGAGGTATAGTAGGTCAGTCCCTAGGTCGAGGTCAGTGTTAAGGAGAAGATCAAGGTAAACTATTGATGATAATCCTTCCTTTCTGATATCATTTGGTGCATTGTTTTTTTAATGCTGATGTAAGCCTCCCTTATTGGATAACAGGAGTCCTTCAAGTGATGTTGAGAACCCTGGCAACAATTGTATGTAATGGGACTGTCCTGCCGGATCACAAAGGGGGAACTGGAAAAGCATTTTGCGAGCAGTTTGGACCCTAGTTGAATCTTGATCTCTGTCTTGTATCAAATTTTTTTGGAGCTTCTGTAAACCTCTCTTACTGTTAGTTTATTGATGTGTAGGTGGTGGATGTGCATCTCGTGGTTGACCCGTGGGCAAGGGAATCTCGTGGTTTTGGGTTTGTAACTACGTCAACTATTGAGGAAGCTGAGCAGTGCATCAAGTGTTTAGATAGATCTGTGCTCGAAGGTCGTGTAATCACTGTTGAAAAGGTATTGCTTACAAACAAATCAAACACACAAAGTATTAGATTGCCGGGGTTGTATGCCCTGCATTTCTCTTTTCTTTCTGCCTATTGAACTTAGATATCTTGCTTGTGTCATTTACTTATTGCCAAATCATAAACGCATGACTCTGTACACTTACTTTCTTGCCTTTGTTTCTTGTTTGTTTAGGTAACTGACGATTTAGATTTGTGATGACAGGCTAGGAGGAGGAGGGGAAGAACTCTTCCTACTCCAGGAAGGTATCTGGGGTTGAAGACTATTCGAGGTTAGATGGTTTGCATTGTTTATTTGATTTGGACTGTTTCCTGTCGATTGCCCACTAACTTAAGCTCCTAATGTTTTATTAGTGCGCCGGCACTCTCCCAGTTACTCTTCCCGTACCTCTCCTCGTCGGACTCCAAGCTATTCTCCCTATAGTAGGAGCAGGTCTCCTCATTATTCAGCTGACCGCAGCAGGGGCAGGTCCTACTCCCTTTACCGCAGGAGGCGCAGATCACACTCTCCTTACTATGGTCAGCGGAGGGCTTATTCTTGTTATTATAGTCAACGAAGATCGTACTCTAGATCGCCTTCCCCTTATAGTAGGTTGCCAGTGTTTCGGCGTGATAGGTCCTACTCCTTATATGATTCGAGGGACTACTCACCGGATGATCGTTATCACAGCAGGAGCCGCTATTGATCTATTTCTAGAAGTGTCTCACCAGGAAGAGGAAGATACTCTAGGAGCAGCTATTCCCCGAGGAGGAGGAGATACTCACCTAGCGAATCTCCAAAACCCAGGAGAAGGTCGAGGAAGAGTTACTCTCGTAGCACCTCAAGAAGCCTGAGGAGGAGTTCTAAACGGAGCTACTTATCCAGGCGCAGGTATTCGAGGGATAGCTATTGGAGTTTGTCTCTGGGTCATAGTGTTAGTGCAAGTTCCAGAGCAGTTTGAAGGTCTAATACGCCAAGGTCATCATCACCTTCAGCTTAGGCAATGTTCTGGAAATAAATTTGAGCCATGTCTTTTCTTGATTATCATAAAGCTTACCTTCTTGGCACGCTTAATGGTGACCAGCGATGCGTCCCTGAGTTTGCCCTGGTAGACTGTCCCGAGCGCACCTTCCCCGGTCACGTTAGATGCCGAGAAAGATGACCTCGTCTTCGATGAACTCCTAGCAGTATCTGTAGAAGCTGTGGAACGACGATGACAAACCAAGCTAGGATGAATACACGCGAGAGCTGATCAGCCGAGAGTGAGAGTGGAGCGGCTTACAGGAGATGGTGCTGACTGGCCTGCCAATTCTGGGAAGGGCCAGAGACGGCAGGCTTCGAGGAGCTCTTCCTCTTGCGAAGGAGGACGGCAAAAGCACCCGGAAACTCTCTTGGCCGCTCATGGCTTCTTAGGCTCCAGCAGAATTGATTGGAGTCTTCGTCTCCTTCACTCTTCACTCTTCTTCGGCTACTATGTCAATGTATTTTGCGAATCCGTTTCTCTAAAACGTCGAGATTCTAGTTATTTCTATACCTCGTGTGAAAATTCGCGCATATCATTTAGAAGGTGAGGTTATTTTCATCCTACGTACTAATCTTTTGTTCCAGTAAAGCCAGGGAATGGATTTGATCAAGTCGAGGACGGGGCCAATCACCAGTTGAAGGTGAGAGGCGGCGGATTCACCGCCCATCATCGCCCGGCTCTAGCATGAGTCGACGGACAATGTCGGCCGCGGCGGCGGCGGTGGAAGAGAGAGATGTTGCCGGATGGTCTTCAGGAGGAGTGATGTAAAGAAACAGCTAAGAGGAGGGAAAAATACGCATAGATAAAATAACTCTTGCGAAAAAAAACAAACAAACAAACAAATTAGATTATGAGATTTGAGTTTTTGCGGCGTTCCTTAGAGGAAAGTTTGAAACTTTTCTTCTTCCACCAGTTGCTATTTAGCCTGTGTCGTCCCTCCAGTCTAGCACCAGCAAGAGGGAATCGGGTTGGATGGACTCTTTTTGTAACTCGAAACCTAATTTAGGGTAAATGTGTGACGGGATGCTAATTTGAGATTTTTCATGACACAAAAAAATAGTTTAAAGTAAATACGGCACGATTATACCTGTTAGCATATTGTAACAAAAAAATTAGTTTGGGAAAAATATGGCACGGATTTATCAATTTGGAGAATTTTTGTAGTATCAACGTAATTTAGTAAATTTGACTTTGCATCAAATGCCATAGAGCTCCTCTTTTTTTTTATATAAATAATAGCATCGTCAAATTGCACATAAATTGTTTTTGGATTAATATCACAAAAAACCTCACGCCAGTACGCCTGTGATGAATTTACCACAAACTAATTGACCACCAAAAATCTCAAACTGGTACATTTGTGACAAATTTGCCCTCTGTTAGTTTTCGTTAAATTGAATTAATACCACAAAAAATCATAAACCAATACACTTGTGACTAAGATCCTAAACCGGTACACCCGTCAACTGTCACGTGTCATCCAACTCAACAATTTAACGGCAAAATTTAATGAAAACTAACGGATGGTAAATTTATCACTAGTGTACCAGTTTAGAGTTTTTTAGTGGTCAAAAAATCGACGTGGGATAAAAATTTGTTACAGATGTACCAGTTTAGGGTTTTCCATGATATTAACCCAATTTTTTTTACCACTAGAAATATTTAGAATAGATGGTTTTCGTGTTACTTTTCATGGCAAAAGGATGTGATCAGGAATTTGATCATTAACTATCCCAAAAAAAAAAACCACTTTAATTACAAGTAAAAGAAAGAAAAAAAAAAGGAAACAAATATATATGGGCCAAAATTTCGAGTTTTCCGCTTATCCTCACTGTTACTTCAGTTCCAAGTTTCCTGTTCTATTCTACAGTTGTACAGACCAAGAAACATTTGACTTTTGGCAATTGCAAGATCTTCCAAGGCCGCAGATTATCGATTCCCTCGTGTTAATTACCCCTTCCTGGTTATTTCCTGATTTGAAACACCATGAAGAGAAGAGCCCCCCCTTAAATCACAAACTCTCTGCTGCACATCAAGGTCAAGACCTCTGTTGCACATCAATGTCTAAGTAGATTACTTCCATCAACGACCGTATATCCTGAGAGAGAGAGAGAGAGAGAGAGTGACGGGCAAGAAGAACGTAGCGATGGAAGGGGTGACCCACAACGAGAATAGTAACGTTTTGAGCGAGGATGGTGATCGATTCCCAAAGGGTTTAAGGGTTCTCGTGGTCGACGACAATGTCACCTGTCTCCACCTTCTGGAGAAGATGCTTCAAGACTGTTCGTACCGGGGTAACTTCACTGCACCGCGTCGTGTTTTCTCTCTTTTCTTGCTTCGACTTCGCGTCTGCAATAGTGTGTTGTTGTGTTGTTTTCTGAGTCTGATTGCCGCGGCATTAGTGGCGGTATGTATAGTTAATCATTGCGACCGAATTGCGGAAGAGAGAATTCTCGCTTGTGTACTTGTAGTAGTCGAGGAATTAGTTTCATGCATGCTTGATCGCGGGTTGATGTTCAAATTGCAACCAGATTTTTTAATCCAGCATAGGCACTGACGAACTCAAGTACCCATCTAACACTACAGATAAAATCTTAGATACCGACTCTTATGATGCACTCTTGTATTTTATAAAACGAAAGAAAGAGACACAGATGGCGAAGGTAAGATTAGAAGATATTCTAACACAAAATCAAGGAGATTTTGATTTCAGGCAAGAACCGTGACCAATCTCTGAACATCATCCAGCGTCTCTACAGATGAGAAGTTGCAAGTGGATTCCTTATGCTTGTGCCACAAGGTGGATGGTTTAAATGATATCGAGAGGAGACATTTGATAATGGAATGCGTCTTATGCACATAGTTTTTTAGCCGAGAATCTGCATGTATGATATGTATAATGTGTTTTTACAGTGACCAAGTGCCAGCGAGGAGAGGATGCGCTGTCGATGATTCGAGAGGATAAGGCCAGGTTCGATATTGTCCTGACGGATGTTCACATGCCCGGCATGGATGGACTTCAGCTTCTTGCCGAGATTGCTAACATGGGGATAACTTTGCCTGTAGTCAGTAAGTCCTCATATGTCAATTAATTCAAGCCAGACTCATAAATTCATGGAATTGATGTGATGTATTCATTTTTTTTGTTTAAATTTGCCAGTGTTTTCGAGCGACGCCGTAAAGGACACTGTCGCGAAAGGAGTGAACAGCGGGGCTTGCGATTTTCTAGTGAAGCCGATTCAAATCAACACTCTCAAGATTCTATGGCAACATGTGCTTAGGAGCAACCGATCGTCAAGCAACAATTCCACCAAAGAACTGGAGACGCCGCATGCTCTGACCACATCTTCATCTAACAATGCCCATACTCAAGCACAGAATGAGGAAGAGAATTCTAAAAGCTCGAAAAGGAGCAGTGAAGATGAAGCCGATCATGGCCAGAACAAAAGCGGGGTGAAGAAACCTCGCGTGGTATGGACACCTGAGCTCAACCGGATGTTTATCATGGCCGTCAATAGTCTTGGAAACGATGGTGCGTGACGTGCGCATGAACTTGTTTCCTTTTTGAGTGAGATAATGGTTGACCTGACTGATGGGGTTTTTATATGACACGCGATGCAGATGCCAAACCCAAGAAGATATTGCAATTTATGAGGAAAATGGCGGGTGTCCCTCATCTCACTAGGCAAAACATCTCCAGCCACCTTCAGGTAAGTCCCCTCAATTCAATCTCATGTAGAAAGATCAAGAGCATATTGGGAAAAAAGCGAATGAGTGCTTTAACAAGTGTATTTATTCCTTTGAACTCCTGTGAGAAATGCTTATTAAATCAAGCTTGTCAATTGTGCAGAAACACCGCACGAACTCGAAGAAGATAGGCGCAGCCTCGGATCATCGAAGTGCACATTCTTCTCTCATTAACGGCCCTGGCTTCGCCAATCTGACTCATCCCACTCCACCATCATCGTCATTGATAGGGTGCGGCGTTATCCAAAAACATGCTGCTTCAGCTCGATATCCATCACAAGCTATGAGTATCGCCCCTCGACAGCAGTGCACAGGTTGTAGCATGAGGATGCCTGATCTTGTTGAGTTCCCAGATAATAACGTGCTCCCAAGGTACCAAATGGGGCTCGAATCACAACCGCTTGCGCTGTTGCAACAACCGAACCCACCGCTCCAGAACTACGGCCACCAACAGCGAGTGAATGAATCAGCTCAATGCCCGCCGTATGCTCCTGCGCCATCCGTTGGGTTCACCTCACCAATGAACAACACACACCAAGTATATAATAACAAGGCTATGTTTGCGGATATGCTTGATACGGTTAGTTGATTTGTTGGCCGAAGCTATTCTCCAGATTTGGTTGGTCAGTTTAGTTTCAATACGGCGATTGACAATGACGACTCATTCTGATGACTATTATTTTCGTCTTTGATGCAGAATTTCTTCGAGGATCTTGGGTTTGGGGAAGACTTTCCTTTACTCGACAGCTACATCCAAGACAACAACGGTGCCATGTAGGAGAAGGCTAGAGTGAAGAGTAATCTTCCTGCGGCGGCATATATCTGTTAATAATTGCATAGATAGACTTAACTCTGGTTATTTTTGTCTCGTATTGAAGCGAGAGCTTACTGTAAATATTTCATTAAAGCTACTTTACAAATTCTCTCTCTCTTTATCACTTTTCTTTCGCTCATTCTTTCGCCGTTCTTCTTTATTCTACCTTCGACCATGCCCATTCATAACCGACCACAGTGAGTTCGCAAGTGTGTGTACATGCCGCTTGCATACATATTTAAGATCTAATCTTCGACGAGCCGAAAAAGGTGGGGGGGAGGAAGACTTCCTCTTTGGGCTTTAGATGGATTCTGACTTCTCTAGACGTCCCCGCGTTTTCTGGCGTAACACAGTCGAGCTCATTCCCTGGGCCCTGGTGCTTGACGAAGAAGCAGCTTCGACCTCTTATGGTGAATGCCCTCCTGCTTCGATCTGTTAAAGGCCGGTGTCTATCTGGGAAGCGCTGAACCCTTGAGCAAGTTGACCGGACGGAGAATATAAGCTGTCTTGTTCTTCTCCGCCGACGAAGATTCGAGTCGTGAAGCTAAGATAGGTGAATACATGAATAATTGCTGTTGCAATTCGGCATTCTTTTCCTGTATGACTTGTCCATGATGTCCAAGTCTCGCTAAATAATCCTCGCATAGGAATTCCTCTTTTGCTATGATCCTCTGTGTATAGAGCGCGACGGGCGTTCGTGACTTAAATTATATTTGAAGTGTTAACGATAACGTAATGTAAGAATTGCTCGGAATAACGAAGTGAATCTTCCCATCTGACTTAGAAAGTTCTCTCTCAGATCTCTCTTCGAAACGTTCCAAATTGTCACATGGGTATATAGACTTTTCGGGCTCACTTGCGAATTGCATGGTTCTCCTGCCATGTACGACAGTTTGAATCCACTGTCCAATCCAGCCAGGGGTGACCGGAATTATTCTCTAAAGTACCTCTCTCTCTCTCTCTCTCTCTCTCTCTCTCTCTCTCTCTCTCTGTGCAAATTTGGCTCAATCACTCTATACACGAGCCATTCATGGGAAGAACTCGGCCAGGAAAAATAAAGAATGTTGCATACCAGACTCTTGAAACGACAACCATCCGAAATGAATTCGTTCCTCGCTCGAATTGATCATTCAAGAGCTATGGCATATCGATGGCAGGACATTCAAGAAACTGCATTCCAGAAAATTAATAGATGGAGGCCGACAAGGCTGGGGGCTCTAATCCTCGAATTTGCAAAAGGACAATAATCACAGTGGAAAGTTTATAGTCTTGTCCCACAGAACCCGGAAGATACGGATGACGACAAAGCCAGATGAATGTACTAACAGGAGGAGGTGCACTGCATTTGATTTGAGCCCCGCTGTCGATGGCTAAGGTTGAAGGTGCTCATGCAGGGCAAGGAAAAAGAACGAAAATTGCATGCCCAAGCCTTGAGACGACAATCATCCGAAGATTTCGTTCCACGAGTTGCAAGTTGATAATTCAAGAACTATGGCATATTAGTCTACAGATAAGTAAGCCTACATAATCACAAACTGACTCAATAAAGCTCCAACAACAGTTATATGGAAACCTAGCACAGATCAGGGGCAGGACATTCAAGAACAGGCTTTACCAAAACATGACAGACAAAAGATGGAGAGGCCAGACCTTACCAAAAAAAAAAGATGAAGAGGCCAGCAATCATATATTTCTGGATGCTATTAAAGAAAGAATACAATAATTGCAGTGGAGAGAGTTCATAGTCTTGGTCCAAACAGAACCTGGAACACAAGGATGATGAAGCCAACTGAAAGTACTAATAGAAGGGGAGCATGGCATGTGATTTGAGCCCCGTTACTTTCATTGGCTAAGGATGATGGTGGTAATGCCGGGCACTCGAGCCCTAGCTTTCCTTCTCTACATTCGGCAGCAAAAAGGCCGGGCGGGTACTTCCCATTGAGGTTGATATAGGTAAACATGGTCGAGGCGCAAACATTTGTTAGGTCGTTTAGAACATCAGCATATGGGCACGCAAACTCCTTGAACGCTCCACAACAGACATCGGGAGGGTAAGTAGGTCCTTTACATTTGCTCGTGATGATCGTGTAGTTCAGGAACTCAAAGTTCACTGAACAACCTGCAAAGTTCATCACAGAAAATTGAGACACTATAGTCACATTAAAGCAACGTGCAGGTTGAGCAAATCGGTGCAAAGATGAGGCTGTGGCATTATTGCCCATATCATTTATGATCATTTTTTGCTTTGCCATAAATATATGTATGCAGCAGCCGTAAATATAGTACAGTATTGACAGCATACATCTACTAAAAGTAGAGTATTTTGCTGATAATGTTCCTAAAGAGCTCCCTCAAAGGGATCATCATTTTGTGGTGTCCCTAATTATGCTACAAGAACCAGATGACAAGAACTGCAGAAACTTAGTAGTAACACCACATTTATCACACGCTTCAAGTTAAAGGGTTTTGTTCTTTTTCCCTTTCCATACTAGATTGAGGCACTTCAATTCCATAAACTTGAGAATTTCTTGCAGAGATAGAACAGTAGAAACCTAACTATAGCATTCTAAAATGCTACCGAATCAAAATTAAACTTCGTATGACAAAGTTCCACCTTTCCTAGAAATCCGTCGTGAGAGAGTGTAAGATAACCCAGAAGTACAGAGTAGGCTGGACAGAAATCTGAGAGCGTGTAAGACAATCCAGAAGCACGGAAGAAGCTGGACAGAAATCTGATTGGACTTTGATCTGAGATGGTTTAAGAGCTACAACACTCGCATAATTCAATTAATAAGCCAGAATTTGAGTAACAACTACTACTTGAGTAACTAACAATAAACCATCAACCAGGGATCTGTTGCCTCAATATTTTCACATCTCTAACTGAAATCTCCACACCGGAAACAAGCGCCAACATGCCGAACTAGCCCAATGCATCAAAAAGCTTGGAAGTATAATAAGTACCCAAGAAACAGGGTCACAAAAGATTTTACCTTGTTTAGCCTGGAGGAGATGCCGACCAGCAAGAACCTGAGATTCGAATATATCATCTGTATCCACATATCAAGAAAACAGAAATCTTACGACGACATCAATGGGTCGACACAAGAGAAAGAATTGGGGGGGTGTTCTGAAACAGAGGAGTTTCCACTGAAGATACCTGAAATGATGGGGGTGGGCAAAGGAGCGGCTTTGGAGGAACAGGTCAAAAGAATCAAGAAAATGGCACACAACTTGCAGAGAGAGAAGAACCCGTGTGGCGCCATAGATTCCTGGGTTCTTGAGTTAGCGCAGAGAGAGAGAGAGAGAACGAGAGAGAGGTATGGCGGAGAAGCAAGCAAGCAGCTTTCTTCTTTCTTCGCCACTTTCTGCCTTCAAGCAGAAACGAAGGCAAGGGACGGTTCAAGCTGCGCGTAGCAAAGCCATCTAGAAGAACATCAGCTGAAGTGGAGGATGGTTGAAGACAGTACAGCAATCGGCGGAGAGTTGGACAGAGTCAAAGTCGTAGTCATGGTCATACATGGGGAAGGTGCACGGAGAGAGGTGACTTCAAGCTCGCGAGCATGTCACTTTCTTCCCTCGCACTCCCACCCCCACCCCCACCCCCACCCGCTGTTTCTTCTTTCTTCGCTATTGTTTTCCCAAGCCATCGCCAGCTGTTAACCATTTCTTGAATCTTTTATTGAATTGTTCCCCATTTCTTCTTTTTTCTGCCAAGTTATTATATATTTAGAACGCCATCCGCTTGATCGAACAGAACGAGTTCAAGAAATAGTTTGACGTCCGAAGGTAAAATTTCTTGAACTTGCGGTCCCCATCCGAACAACTGGCCCACTGATTCCGGGCGACCTTGCCACCCTATTCAAGACTTCACCTGCTTTGTTAGTAAATGAAAAAGTCTTCTTCGATGTTTTCCTTATATGAAGAGAGGACGTAGACAGCTATATTTGACATTTTTGCAAACAACGTGAGACTCATTAATCTCGATCATGTCCAGGAAACTTTCGCAGTTTGGCAAGTTGAACAACCACAGAGATGCCCCCTTATGGTCCGGTGTCTGGTCTGACCCTGCTTCAGATTTGATCTGCGACACCATCCTGCCAGACCATAAATCTATTTTTCTCTCTTTTGAAGAGCACGATGGAAAGAAAAGGGGACGACTGAATGAAATGAGATATTGTTTTGAAGCATGGTCGAGTGGATTAGCCGGACAAAGATGCGCAATAATTAAATGCCGCACCGATACGCTGCAATATGCTACTCCAACGTTGCAAGGATTTTGCAGATGTTTTGGAGTGGGAAGATCTTATCGGACCATTTCATAAAGATTTGGCAAAATTCCAAAAGCAATCCTCTATATCCAGGGACTGCAACTACTTTTACCATCAATCACCCACTTTTCTCTTCTATCCCATTAAGCATTCGCCACTATACAATGCTCAGATGTACATTCGGTTTCAGTGAGAAATGGCCACCAACATAGTGCCGCGCAACAAAAAGAATTTCTTCAGGCGTATCTTTCTTCCGTATACTTGGTCGAAACTGCAGGACATCCATGAAGCAGTGGCATCCGTCGCTGACTTGAGTATAAGTAACAGCGAAAAGCAAGCATTGGGTGCCATAGATGCTTCGCGAACCCAATATTATGAACCACAACACCAACTTTTCTGTGTTCTCATCTGCACTTTTTGCAATATCCACAGTTGACTCTTCAAGCATTTAACAGAAGAACCTTCTTTGCTGCAATAAGAATCCGGTAAGATATGCATTCCAAAGAAAACCGAAAGAATCAACCATTCATGTGTGAAAATTTTATGGTTCAGCACTCAAGAAACTTGCTTTTGTTGTTTGGCATCTTATATTAGCCATTCACACACCATATAGATCTTAATCAAACAATTCTAGTTTTGCACATTCGTCCAGATCTTGTTTCTGCCATGCATTTACAATCTTTATGGACAAGCACGTATATTGGTTCAGCGAAGTACAACAAGACGCTAATAGATTTATGTGGGTGTTATTGATCTCCACGGATGAAATTCAATGATGAGGTCTGTCTTGATTGAACAAGGAAAATTTCTAAAGATGTCAACTTACTCGACACTTTGAATCCTGCAAATTCTCCCACCGTTGAGTGATCTCAAGTTGCTTCATCACTGTAGCATGAAGTACCTGTAACAAAATTCCAATAAAATGAGAAAATTATCCACACGCATTGCCATCATGGTCCTTTCAGATTCAAAAACAAGAGGAGCATGACTCACTCTCTTTGTTTTATCAAGGTCAAACTCCACCGACTTTATTCTGTCCAGAGATTCCAAAAGCATTCTCTCCTTATCCAATGGAATTTCTGTAGGCTTATGACTAAGTTCCTCAAGTGCTTTCTCTAGTCTTTGAAGACGTTCTATACATGGGAGGAGACGATCTTCTTCATTTATATCATCTACAACTTGCGGTTGGCTGTTTGTGTTGCTCTCTATCATGTTAGATGGATGAACGATATTCTGCTTTCTCCCTAATTTAGATGCAAAAAGGCGGAAGAATGCAACAAGTTTGACCATGAATGAGACAAGTATTCGTGCCGCACACTGGACAATCCTGACATCCACCTTTTCCCTGATGTTGCCTAACCAATGAACAACGGAACTCCCTAGAGAGAGATGTATCAGTATATCAATAGTCAAAGAATACTTTGCCAAGAAAGATTGACAAATAGAAAATGCATCATCATATAAAAGGCTGTCAACAATTATGCCTGCTCAAATTTTATTTTTTTTTCATTATCTGACATTCCTAACATCCACCTTCTCCCTGATGTTGCCTAACCAATGAACAACGGAAGTCCCTAGAGAGAGATGTATCAGTGTATTAATAGTGAAAGGTATACTTTGCCAAGAAAGATTGACAATTACAAAATGCATCATCATTTAAAAGGCTGTCAAAAATTATGCCTGCTCAATTTTATTTCATTTTTTGCATTTTTTGCATCGCATTTATGCCTGCTTGTTATCAGATGTGTTGTTTGTCAATTGTTTCTAAAGAACCACGACTAGGGTAGAATCTGATATCTAGTCAATCAAGCAAGCACTCGATACCTTCTGAGGTCTGTCGGTCCTTGCAAGACAAACTTCTTCTAAGCAGCAGATCCTGAGCAGCTTCCACTCCCTTTTCACTGTCACTGGCTTTCCTAATTGACACGAAGTTATCATGGCAGCTGTAATAGGCATCTGAATCTGATGCTCTTGCCTGCATCAGTTACAATCCTTATTGAGTGATGATATACATATATAGACACACGGTCCAGTTATAACACAGCATTTAAAACACACAAGGTAATCAAAGACATCACGTCCCAATTTCTAGGAATCACCTCTTCATGCACTGGGTCCAAACAAGGAAAACTAGAACTTCTTTGCGCTGTTGGTGAACAAGCATCATCTACATCTGACCCCGATTCAGCTGCTGACATATCACTAGCTCTACCCTGGTAAGCAGAGTGCATAATTACTCAGCAAAAGAAGAAGAAGAGCTGACAATCTAGATTAGAAACACAACAAGATCAGTCCTGTCAACATGCAAGCGGTTAACACTTGCCTTCAACGGGAGTATCTGAATATAAGAGTCAACTTTCTCTTGATCGTCGGAAACTCTGGTAATTTGTCTCACGAATGTTGCTTCCGCATTGCGCACAAGCTTCACAGTGTCAGAATCACTTCAACTTAGCTCTCGATTCACCAATTTGAGTAGAGAAAGAATTGTAAATACAAAGACACAGTACCTTCATTATGTCAGGATCATTCCACGGACCCTTGTTAGACCTAAGGCACCCTCCTTCACTGGAACAGGTGCAAGAACCACCCAAGAAGTCAGGCAGTTGGCTGGAAGGAAAAACCAAATCTGAAGTCAACACATGCATGTTTGAAGCCATTTAACGACAATAAATCAACATAAAAGAAACAAACCTTGAATCAATAACTTCAAGGAGTCGAGGTAAGGATTTGGGGTCCAAAACCTAAAAGTTAGGATGTAACCATAGATTAGTGGAACATTGAATGAAGAAGGTAGACAGATACTACAGGACTCAAGGTAGGATCATTTTACATGTATCTTTCCAATTGTCTTCGGGTCGAGAAATTTCTGAGCTGCAGGCCAGAGCATTTTCTTGAACCCAGGGCCGGCATTAACAATGTACATGCGATGTAGAGTCTGCAGAATTCAGACCAGTCAGATACATTACAAAAAAGTGCACCAAATGGTGTTCATGATAATCAAATACCTCAGGGTAGTAACTGTTGTCTATTTTTGCCATAGCAGCCAAAAGACTAGTGGCAGTTCGAGAGAAGTTCTTCATGCCCTGCATGTCATATGCTTTCGATTCAACAAGTTAAAAAGATCAACACAACTAATAAAAAGAGCAACCATCAGTGAGTGAAATGAATCTTTTGTTGCTTATCATCATACTTAAATTCCACAACAAAATAACTAAAAGAATCATCTAGGATGCCACAATAACATCAGAAATCTTTTCTTAAAATAGAATATATCAACAATCAAACATTGGAAAGCACCCTCGAGAAAGATCTGGGAGCAGACATAATTGCTACCAAAATAAACTGAGGGCAAAACAAACTAAAAAAGTTGCCAATGGCAGATGAGTTACTAGCAACATACCAATCCTTGTACATCCAATATAGTTGTCGTTGAACATATTCGCCTCTTTGCTGCGATTGAACATGCTGGGAATTTCTCCTGTAGAGCCCTCTCAAATTCTTGGACATGATATCTTAGGTATCGATCAATAGAGGTTATACGCATGAGCTTACTAGGGTGAGCTTTACCCAGCCTTTCGATGTACACTGGCCTGCCCTCCTTATCGACACCATGGTAACCTTGTGGATAATATTGCAAGACTTCTTCCAACTCATTAAACTCAAAATCCTACATATTTCAAACAAATTTAAGGATGTGATCTAGCGAACAATCCACTTCTCACGAGTCATTTCTTTTGTCCTTTTCTTGCAAAATTCTGAAACATCTGCTTAATTTAATAATCACTATGGAGCATAGATTAATGACTTCCAATGGTAGAGCATTTGTGAAAAAGGATTTCTAATTACCTCCAAGATGGTATCTGTTCCATATTCTTGCCTCCAATTAAGCATCTCCTCCCACATTTGGATTGTTTTTTCAATGTTAAAATCCCTAGCTTTCAGAAACCTATATATACGAACGAAAAGGAAGAGGTCAGCATGTTTGATTCACTCAAGAACACTTAAAAGCGGGGGAAGAACCGATTAAACTAACCTCAACAGTGTATGATAGTCATCAAGCCTAGAAGGCAACAAATCTCTGTCGAGAAGTTTTTGACGCAATTGAAGAACTGCACCTTCCTCTTTTGCATCTCGTACATCCTCTATGGAAACTGCCGGTACCCTGTAATCGACCTTCCTTTTTCCTCTCTTCTTAAGGGAATGAGTGAACTTGTTTGAAGCATTTAAAGCTTTCTTCTTAAGAGTCCCAATTTTAAATCTCCGTCTTTCGTCATCGGCGTTCTCAGGATCTGTTCTTCTTTCTCTTATGTCATCGTAACCCCTCAATCCTTCTAGTTCTTCTGCAGAAAACATTACCATAAATCAGTTTATAGATCACCAGGATCGCGCGACTTGCGGTCTCAGATTAAGGAGGACTATAAACACATGAGACATACCTGACATCTCAATCCACTATAATAATCACCAGCTTAACCTTACTCTTCGGGGGAAGAAATCAAGCCAGCCTCTATCTCAGCAGCGCACACGTGCGGGGCTCTGTCTGGGGAAGATGCATGACATAAATCAAAAGCTAGAAAGGAATAATAGAAAGAAACCTAGAAAGTACGATTCTGGAAACGATAACAACGAATCACGGGATAAGATGCCCATTCAAAAGCGGTGGTCTATCTGGAAATAGGCATTAGCACCCACACCCACATGAAAAAACAAACAGATACGAAGAAGACCCTCTAGCCTGCTACTAATTCCCTTCGATTATTCCAGAGTCTAAATGCTTATCAGAGTGCAAAAGAGCAATGAAAAGATGAAGTGACCACGGTCCAGTACGACCAAAAGAGAAAGCAACACGTCCAGTTCTTGCCCCAGTACGTAGAACACGTTTAATGCAGGATCCTCCTGCTTTCTATCCCTTTACCGCGAGCTCAGGAATTGCTCAGAAAATGAAAGAAGAACAGGACACGATCACTCCCTCCGGTGAGCTAATGTGCTATTGCCAGGCACCACAGAAAGACCTGTAGCTACCCACAAGTTTTTTTTTTTTTTTATTTGGGTCGGTATAGATATACCCACAAGTTTTTTTTCTTTTTTGGGTCGGTATAGAATACCCACAAGTTCAGCAGATCTGAATGAAACTGGTGAAACTCCACCAGCACACAAGCGAGGGAGAGAGCGAGAGAGAGAGAGAGAGCGAGAAATAACGCAGCTTTCCTTCTTTATTTACCAAAACCAGCTCGCGCTTTAAATTCATGCGCTATTTACTAAATCAATGAACGCCGGTCAACTGTTCACTGCCCAGAAATTGCCTTAAAAGAAGCCACAGAGAGAGAGAGAGGGAGAACACCCAAATGGGCCTCGACGTCGAAGCAACTCCCCAAATGCACCATCGTGAAGCAGCTCAAAAACCCATGAAAAATCCAGCAGCAACAGCAGCAGCAATAAATCGCAGCAGCGAACGAAACGGAAGACCGTTAAGGGAACTCGGCCCCGCCGCGGGGGCATTTACAAGCTCAAGCGCGAGACATTGAAAGCTCATTAAAAGCCTAACCCGCCCCCGCATCGAAACTCGGGCAATGCCGAACGACGGCCGTACGGATCTCCCCACCCCCCCCCCCCCCCATCTCCGTTACGCCGCCCCCCTCGAAAAAAAAAAAAGAAGAAGAGAGAGAAAGAAACAGAGAACGAGCGAAGCACCGACAGTGCCAAAGCCTCAGAGGGTACGGGGACCCACGGACGGAGCCGCCGCCGCAGGAGGAGGAAGGAAGAGAGAGAGAGAGGGGGAAGAGACGCACCGCCGCGCGAAATTCCTAATCCGCGGAGCTGGATCGGGAGAGGGGGGCCGGCGGGGGCGGGACACAACCGGCGGGATCGCCGATCGGGAGAGAGTTTCCGGCGCCGGTGGTAGGGGGAGAATGGGAAACGGGAATTTTTCTCGGGAAAAAAAGGAGGAGGAGGAGGAGGAGGAGGAGGGAGGGCGCTGTTTTCTCGAGAAAATGCGACGGTGGTGGTGGGGGTGGGAGGGAAAAACGAAGGGGGGGGGGGAAAGGGGGAGGAGGAGGGAGATGGAAGATCTGGTTTCGGGGTTTGTTAATGGTGGTGGTGGTGGCGGTGGTGGGGGTTGGGGGGAGTTTATTCCTTTCTCTCTCTCTCTCTCTCTCTCTCTCTCTAAAAAAGATGGTTGAAGCTTCGAGCATCGCCTTCCTCTCCCTCCCTCCTGCTTCCTGCTTTTCTGCTCCTCTGTCATTGCTGTCACTTCAGTTTTGCTTACGTGGCCTTCTCTCCCTCTCCCTCCCTCCCTCCCTCCCTCCCTCTCTCGAGGAATTGGGAAAAAATAATTAATTATTACTTACACACACGAAAAAAAAGAAGAAGAAGAAACCCAAACTGGTGCACCGATCGCCAATCACTCCGGACTAATTTTTTGACCACTAAAAACCTTAAATCGATACACGTATGACGAATTTACCCTAAATTGATTTTTTTCTTTACGACAAGAGATCCCGAACCGGTACGTCTGTGATAAATCTATCCCGCGTCGAATTGGATTGATATCACGAAAAACTATAAACCGGTACAGCTGTCAACTGTCACGTGACGTTCAACTCAGTAAGTTAACTGTAAAATTTAACGAAAACTAAATATGGGGTAAATTTATCACGGGCGTATCAGTTCTGGGCTTTTCATGATATTAATTCCTTTTTTTTATCGAAAAGAAAAATGAAAATTGAGAAAGAAAGGAAAAAAGAAAATTGCGTAAAAACCAAGTCCTTCTCAGAAAAGCAGCTGCCACCGCGATTTTGTTTCCTTCATTTTTCACACCTTTTTTTTTTCCTAGTTAACGGCCGTGAGCTTTTGTTTTGTGACTGTTGGGAATCTCTTTCTCCCACTTTGCGAGATTCTCAACGTAATATCTTTTTTTTGAAAACTCAGCTGTAAATTCCTTTTGGCATCCAACTTTTTTTTTTTTCCTTTCCTTTTTTTTATTAAAAGAAAGGAATAAACTCACCACCCGCCTGGGTGGCGCTGCTGGAGCGCGCACTCTTCCTCTCACAAAAGGTTGAGTGTTCGAATCCCGGCGCCGCAGGGACTTAACTGCCGTGGCACGTGTGTGGTGGTAGCTGACGTGTCGCCCCCAGGGTTTACTCCCCGGCTGTCGGCCGTGCGGGGGTTCCCTGGGTTATCAAAAAAATAAAAATAAAAAAAATAAAATAAACTCCCTTATTAGCAAAACTTCTTGGACAAAACTTCTGTGCAGGGAGTCCTAAAAAAGGTGGTCCCAAGCTGATATGGCCGTGCGGTCGTGAAATGGTTATTATTAGCAAACGTGTTTAGCAAGCTACGCAATCCGCCTTCGCAGCCGCGATTGCTATTGCATTGTCCGCTGCCGCGGCATTAGGTGGAATTATTATTGTTGTACCAAACTCGTTCTTAGACCGCATGGTAGGATTGTGTATTGTAATTCTCGGTTCCATTTCTCCAATCATATAAAGAGATTAGGATTAAACGGAGTGCACTTAATAATCGGGATGGCAATATGGATACGGCCCGTTTTCACGAAACACGAAGCAAGACACGAATTTCACCGAAAAAATCCGAATACGACGTTAAAAGATACACTCGACTCGCGTGTCGGCATGAATCGAAATGTTTTCTTTTCGAGCCGGTCATTCAGCTCACGAGATCGGAAATCGCGACTTTCTCTTTTCTTTTATGCCGACTCGAACGGGAACGAATATCGCCAATACGGTAACATGAATTTTCACCTCCGATTAACAACGCCCCCCGACGCTACGTTCGGCGTGACAAAAAGGAATCGAAGCAGGGAAATGGAACGAGAGAAATGGAACGGAACGGAAGGGGATATCGTGATTAGATTATTATGTAGTCCGGTTCAAGCAAGAACCGCATGAAACGAGAGCTCTTTCACCGGATTGCAACTTCGGAAAAATTTTCGGTACTTCCACGTGTCGTTCCCCGATAGGTCCACGTGTCAGCACGCCCCCTTGCGCGTGGAAGGGAAAGCCCTAATCAGTGCGTGCTCTCGGGGGCCGTTCAGTAGATCCTAGGATGTGGCAACATCAACGCCTGCGGCTTCGTACGTAGCTCTTTGTTTTGTAATAACAGAAACAAATTCTCTTTTTTTTTGTTTATTTTTTTTTTTTCTCAATTATTTCGTACGTAATTAAGAACGGAGCAAGGGCAGAAGCTGCTGCCGTCACTCCCGCAGTAAACGAAAAAATAAAAAAAAATAAGACGAAAGTAGAATATAATAAAATAAAATAAGGAGGAAATAAAAGGGCGTAATTAAGGAAGGGGAGGCATTTAATAGCAACTGTTTAATTTTTTTTTTTTTTTTTTTTGGGGTGTTGGGTCGAAATTCCTCTGAAAAAGGAAGGTTGTCCCCATCGGGAGGGCTGAAAGAGGAAGGTTGTTTTCAGGGTACGAAAGTGAGATTTTTTTATCATTTTTCTCATCATGAAATTATCATTACTTTCGGCAAATTTTTTTAAAAATAATAATAAAAAAATAAAAGGAAGGTCTGTGGTGTGCGTTAACAATCCCCGCCTTTTCCCTTTTTTTTCTCCCCACTTGCCCAATAACGAGTTATACATAAGAAAAAAATACATGTATACATGATATATAGTCGATTTTTTGGCGCCCAAAAATAAAATGCGGCGATTTTTATTTTCGTTACATATATCTTGCACGTGAAAAAGAATAATTAATACCCGTCTCAGCTACATACAGCGAGTTTTACGTCCGTCGCGAGTCTTCGATTTTACATTCCGATGCTTTACCATCGAGTCGAGGATATACCCGCCGAGTCGCGACGCTAAATTCTTACGCGACCGGCGGGGGTAATTAGCGTAGCGATTTCGCCGGTAAAAAGGGAATCGCTATGCTCCAAATTTTTCTTTTCGTGTGAAGCAAGCAAAGTATATGTATCGGTGACCTAGCTAGCCAAGAAAAATATTTTTAAAAAATAATAAATAAAAAAAGGTATGCATTATTGTACAAAAGAAAAAGGGAAAAAATAAGAAGAAAAGGAGGAGCAACGGAGATTGCATGAGTGACCCACCCCTGTGCATTCAAGGACCATGGATAGTGCATGCCCTTGCCCCCTCCTGTGTCCCCATGATGTCTCGTCAATGCTTCCCACGAGAATCCCATCTATACCAAATTTTTAAATGCATCGTATTGATTGTTACACACGAGGGAAGTGCCTGTTGTACTCGCTTGCATACGGAACTATTACCGCCACCGGTCCGGGCTTTGCGCGCCGGCGAAACTGCGGACCGATTTCGGGTTTCGGACCGTCCCTCCGAGGCTTCGCCCCCCCCCGATCTCGCGAGGGTCGCGAGATTGTTCCGCCGATTCGAGATTTATATGGTTCGAGCGGGTTTTTGTCGCCGCAGGAAAGGCGACGACGGCGGAAGTAACAAAAGTTTCTTCTTATTTTTATGCGGCTGTTCTTGGACAAGAAGGGGACGAGAGAGAGAGACAAGAGAAGCGGGGGCAACATTGGTGTAACTTGTCATGGACATCGGAGCACAAGCCCATGTGCGCACGGTCCTTTATCAATGGTGAAATTCACCCCTTTCGCTGTCCCCAAACTTTAAAGCGAGAGAAAAGAAAATTCTACGCGAACCACGTTATTCATCCCGAATTCGAGAGTGGACGGTTAAAAACCCGAAAATTTACAAACAAATGAGCGGTACGATCGTTCGTGTAAAATAGTCTTTGGGCCGTCGATGTATGTTATAAAGAATATGATTCCCGATCTTTTAATTTGTTCGATATGATCCTTGGATTTGGCCCAATGTATAATGTCGTCCCTGAATTTTTAATTTGCTATCCGTGAACATTTGATACGCATTTAATCTAATCCATAAAGTATATGAAAATATTCAAAATTGTCCCCGAATTTGAATTAATAAACGGATAATATTGAACAAATTCATACGGTTCAATGACTAACTTGAACATGTACAAAAAGTTTAGGGACATCATTAAACAAATTTAAGATTCATGGACGATATTGCACGTTCAGCTAAAATTCAGTAATTACATTAAATAAATTAATTCACGGATCATATTGTACTTTAAATTAGAGTTCAGGAATTATATGTATGATCATTCCACATTATAATTAGTATTTTGGGGGGTCCGTATCAAGTCGAATTTCAATGCGTGAATCTACAGGAAGGTTTGTCCTTTACTTGTTGCGAACTTCAAGCTTCTTTTTCTAACCGGTTGGTTGGATTTGGATGGCCCTAGAGACTAGAGACCAGGACCAGAGAG